GGGGGGGACCGGAGGGGAGGGGGCAGGTTGAGGCGGAGAGTCAAAGGGACAAAGGCACGAAAGCGGGAAACCGTGGATATGTGTCTGTGTGTGTGTGTGTGTGTGTGTGTGTCTGTCTGTGTGTGTGCGTGTGCGCGCGTGTGTGTGTGTGTGTGTCTGTCTGTGTGTGTGCGTGCGCGCGCGCGCGCGCGCGCGTGTGTGTGTGTTGGGGGGGGGCGGCCGCCGGCGGGGGAGCGGGGAGAGAGAAAGAGAGACAGAGAGACAGAGAGAGAGAGAGAGAGAGAGAGAGAGAAAGATCACGGGGTGGAGACGCTGTACCTTGGACGGATTTAGAGCTGTATCCCTTCAACAGATTCAAACTTCTACAACCAACGGCAAACAGACGACCTTCCTACGCCATTGGATAGCAGTGTACAAGAATTTATAGACTGAAACTGGCGTACGTATCTTTTTTCATCTTTCACTGCCTACCTACCACTGCCCCTAAGGCTATACAGGGACCCCTGCAAGCATAGCTGTCTGCCTCTCTTCGGTGAAGGGAGGTTACCTCTCTCGGTAGAGAGGCGTAATGGCATGTTTGCCCCTTGCCCTAGGTTGCAGGGTTGGGGCCGCCGTTGGGGCCAGGCTAAGGCAAGGACATTTGCCAGTACCTGCGCCTCCCTTTCCATCTTCCCCCACCCCCAGGACATGGCTGAAGCCAGCTAAATATTGAGAGACTACATCCTAACCCAGCATTGGCCCGGGTGGAGGTCGATGGTCCGCTGCGGTGCGGGCCTGCAGATGAAGGCAGGGCAGGTGGGCGTGCAGAGTGGCGTGCGTACCGAATTGTTCGCAGTGCGCCACTAAACGAGAGAGCGCGCCCACAGGGCCGGGTACACAGCGGGCGTCTATGTGGATGAATATCTCGACGTGCCCGCCGTCCGATAGCATTTCCGTGTCGGTTTGTGTCCGGCCCCCTTTTTATTTTTTGTTTTTGTGTTTCGTATTCTAAAAAAAAAAAAGAATTTGTCCTTTTGTTTCGTATTGTTGTTTTTTACTTATTTTATTTATTTTTTTCTTTTTTTTAATTATATTTTTCGTTCTAGCGTGTCGTTTTGTTTGCTTTTTTTGCCTTGTGTTTTCGTTTTCTTTTCGAAACAAAAAAAGGACTTTCCGTTTTCTTTTCCCGTGAATTTGCATTTTTCTAATGCCGGTCCGAAAAAAAACAAATAAAAAAAGACAAAAGAAAAAACAAAAGATAAAAAAGACAATTTTATTTTGCAATCGTTTTGGGCCGGAACGAACTTTCCGCTGGAATACAGTCAGATGCAGGCACACCAGTGTTTGGCGCTCGGTCCGCGGTGCGGGCAGTCCGTGGGCATCGCCACACCACTATCAAAATGTGAGAAAACGTGGCGGCCGCATCTGGCCATGTTCTAGCGGGAAGTTCATTCTCATTTGCCTGTCTATCTAACGCTCTCTCTCTCTCTCATCGCCACACCACAGACTTTTGCGCGCTCTCTTTCTCGCTCTCTCTCTCTCTCTCACACACACACACACACACACACACAGATGGGACAAAGTTTGCCTGTCTGTCTGTGTGTGTGTGTGTGTGTCAGAGAGAGAGAGAGAGAGAGAGCAAGAGATCGTGTGTGTGTGCGTGGGTGCGAGAGAGAGTGTGCGGGCAAGAGTCTGTGTGTGTGCATG